TCACATATCATCAACGGGCTCATTACGCTTCTTTGCGCTATACTAGCGATTGTATTTTTCCCACTGCAGGTTGTATCTGTATTCTGGAAATCGCGTAAAAACAACTGTGTTATGTCCCCTATATGTGTACTATTTGGGATCAATTGACTCTTGCAACCAAGATTCAGCGTTACCTTCCATTTGAAGTGCGACTATTCGTCGTGCACCATTGAGATCGTTGACTTCAACGTAATTGTTGAAATAGCTTAACCATTTTTGAGCGTTTTCGGACCTTAGACCTTGTAAACTACCTCCATGCTCCGTCCAAGATCTTTGACGACTTTGATTCTATAAGTATGCCAGTCAGCACATTTCCTACCCTGTTGCAACGAACTTGGATGGAAGTAACAATTACATATGTAATATTATACCAGTGTAAACTATACGCAGGAAGAGAATTGATATTCATTGGTTATATTCGCGCGGCCCATCAAATTACCTGGACCAATGGACGTGCTAAAATGTTGTTAATGTATGTAATTATTTACTTTATTCAAAATGTATGCAAAATATATGTTTTGCAGCAATGCTATTATGGTTTTGCTACGAATTAATGATTGCCTTGATAATCGATATTTGAAATTCACAATTTACATGACAACGATTTGTTTGACATATGATTTTTCGAAATTTACACGACTGATATATACACTTATTTCAATTCCTGTTTTATGCTCTTGTTTTAAAGAAACTTACTGTGCTCATCACATTTGCTTTTCTATGCAAAATTTGACACGACACAAGGACTGTGGTTTAATGTATATTTTTTTTAAAGTTCTGTATCGTTTACAATTCATCAGTTTGACATGTAAGATTTTTGTAGAGTCGGACGTTTGTTAGGAGTTCTAAGGACCCTTACGTTCAAAAGTCTCTCCTGTATATTTTTTATATCTTAATTTTTGACTATTACATTCATGAAATTTTAACTGGAGTGAGATTACGCTATGTTGGGGAAAGTATTGTTAGGAGTCTGAGATATACCCCAAAAGTACACGAAACTATCCCTCCGGCCATATACTAAGTACGCAATCACATGGGTGATTAACACCCAATTATATCCATTTCGGTCGCTGTTCGTGTATATCATTTCGCAATTTGCATGATTGCGTAAGCGTGTAGTAAGGCCAGACTTTTATTATCCCTTGTTTCGCGAATCCGCCGAATGAGCATGAGCCGAAAATGAAATAAAAATAAATTTTTATTTTAGCGTAATTTCTTGCGCCCGCCGACTTGTAAGCGCAAAAAATTGCTAAAAAAATATTATTTTGATCTTCATTTTTTTACCGCCCGCCGCATATCAAATCCAAGTTGCATTTTCGTGGGAGTATCATGATCAGAGTACTAAAGTCACGCGCAGATGAGAAACAAGGTTATACAAGGTTATCTGATCCGAATCACACAAATCTAATGGGGAAAAAAAAAAATATTTTATTTTTCCGACCCCTCAAAAAATTGCCTTATAAAAACTCGAGAAACAAGGAATAAAAAAAAGTCTGACCTAATCTCCCACAATACAACTTTGAACGCGGAGGTGTTAATAAAAAATATCCGTTATTTGAGTATTTCCCTGGGCTTGTGGTCTCGTGAAATAGCAGGTAGTATATGTATATAGTAACATAGGTAAATACTTTTTTTTATCTAAAAGGTCATGTTTTACTTCCCCCCTATACAAGCTGTAACTGCCCAACATTATAACAATACCGTTATTATTAATAATATTTGTAAATACGCCTCTAAATTAATCCAAATGTTACCACGAATGTTCAACAAATATGTAGCCCGTCCGATGTGACAATGACCTAATTAATTACCCAGTGTTTAGATATTTTCCTATGTTGACTAGGCCGCTCTTAATTTGTTAGTGCTCTCCAGAATTGACATTCACATCAAAATATTAATATTCACGATATTGTCATGATATTCGAGTCATATTCTCGTCGTATGATGGAAGGCATGTACAGTAA